GGTTCGTTCGATTCAGTTCTGAGCGAAATGTCTGTAAACCCCTCCCTTCCATAAGCCTACTCTGCTCTGATTGGTCAGCTGGCCAAGCCTGTTGTGATTGGCACAGAGAGGAGTCCTTGAGCCAGTTAGAGAGTGCTACCATTGACAAAGCACCTTTGCATAAAACAATAATATAGTGCTCCAATCAGTTCTTAAAATAATGACATAAAAACATTTTGTTTAACAATTATGCAAGCGAATCGTGCCCACAGCTAAAGTTTAGCTGCTAAACTGTGAACACTTAAAACAATAATGGTGGATACGTTAGCCAAGTGCTAACGTGACTAACTGATGAAACAATACAGTTTGTAAACCAAAATATGTCTATAGTAATGTTTGAAGAATGACAGACAAAAGACGCTCTGTCTTAACTTTTAATCAGAATGCAGAACAGCCATATCGCAGGTGCACCAGCCTAATTAACTCGCTCGTCTCTCCCGCATTAACCCTATAGCTGCCGGTGCAGCAAAATAAACAGCAATTTCACAATGATTATAAAGTCTGTGTGCTACACTACATTCTTTATTATTAAACGAAGTAATTAGAACAACGTCAGTCTACATTAATCGACACATTCTTAGGAAATAGTGGGTTCACAGCGAATTATCAGAACTACTTCAGTAAGACAGTAATATCGTGCTTTACCTGGAAACCTAAAGCTGCACTAGGTATACATCACATATTAGCACAAAAACTCAATATTTTAATATTTTGAGCACTCAAAACGTACACATAACGTATCAATCGTACTTACAGGTTGTGGTTCGGAGAGCTTGTTAGTCCAAATTAAGAAGATTAGAAGCCAACAAAAATAAAAGCCAAGATTATAGAAGCAGTCCTCTGTAAAATGACAAACACACAACAAAAGGTTCGAATTTTATTTCTGTGGTATCCTTGAACACAGCGTCTTCTCGACATGATGTAAACACACTAACTAGCGGAAGTGTTTGATGGCAGGAACAAACATGTCCTTATTTCGCGGGCAGGCGGGGATTATGCAAATGTGTTACCCAGTGACGTATACAGGTAACAGGCAAAAGATTCTATAATATGACGACTCGTTAAGGCGATTCAGAATCAATATCTTTATTTATCATTCACTTTTTTGATTGAC